CAAAGAGACTCCCAGACAGTAACCCAACATAGAACTGGGAAAATGAACAGCAGACCCCAATCTTTTCTGAAGGAATATTGACAACTGATTGCTGCTAGATGAGGAACAGCTGACCTTCCTAAAATAAAGACCTCTAGATAGGCTGAATAGATTCACCGGATGGACAAGTAGTGGGGAACAGCTAGAGGTGCCAACAACACAGTGGACAGTAGCAGGGATGACAGAGTATAAGGGCTCTAGTGGAGGGAGGTAGGCTATGGGAGGGTGCCATCTGGGAAGTGGGTGTATAGATGAATAAGATGGTTTGGGATGTTCTGTGTGAGATACACAAAAAAAATCAACAAATTTTAAAAGATGAATTATATTTGAGGAAAAAGCATAAAATTTACATCATAATAATTAGTAGATGTGAAAAGCATTACCATTGAAATCTACCTGATTACTTTATATCCAAGCTCAGATGCCAAGGAGCTCAGAAATTAATCAACTGTCATTAGTAATAATCAGATATATAGAGATTAGAAATGCATGTGAAAACATCTTAATGTCAATTGCATTGAAAATGAATTTTTTTGTATGAAACTGTGTATTTTAATAATGAAATGGAGATCTTTTTAAAGGTTAAAACCTCATTTAATTTTATGTCTTATAGGGTTTATACTGAGTACAATATTGTATAACTGTAATAATTCAACTGTAAACCTAAAAATTTACAGCCAATTTTGAAAAAGATACATCTTAGCTCAGAAAATTGTTATTGAATATGTCAATGCTGTTGTAATGGAATGGTTCTTCTAAGTATGTGGTTATTAGATAAATAATAAACTGAAAAAAAAGAAAAAAATAAATTGTACTCAAAACACACAGAACACTTAATGTAAGGACACAAAATGGGTAAGCAACACACTCACACAATGTGGTACATTGTGAATGTTTAGTTGTGTCAATCTTGCTTTTCTAATATAGTTTTATGTTCTTTTAACATGGCAAAACTCATGATTGAACTAAAAATAAACACAGAGGTTATCTAGTGTGTGGTTGATCCATAAAAATTTACTTCAATCTGATTAAAACTTCTATTTTATGAAAGAATGTACATTCTTTTCCAGAAGGTAATGAGCATGATCATTTTAAGTTCTTATGATAAACAACACTGATCTCTGCTGGTCACCTAATCCACTGGAATCTGCTGGTCACTGAAAGTCTTGGTGGATTTCAACTCCCTGGAGATTCTATTGTTGTTATTCATTGGCTGATCATGGGAGAGCTGTGAATTTATGAGGACTCTAGGGATGAGAGTTTTCTAAGTCTAGCTAGACTTAAATGTTCCTAAATTACAGCTCTAGAATTTGCCATTTCTTCTGATCAAATATACTCAAGCACTTCTGGTTTTTAAGATTTTATTTTAAAATTATGTATATGTCTGTGTATAGAGATGAGCACATGAGTGTAGGTGCCCATGGAGGCCAGAGGCATCAAATCCCTTAGGAGTTGGAATGGTTATGAGCCAGCTGACACGGTTGCTAGGAATTGAACTACAGTCCTCTAGAAGAACAATGTTCTTAACTGCCAACTCATCTCTCCAGTCCCCAAGCATTTCTGTTTTAATACCACACTTTAAAAATATTTTCTTTCAAAGACAAGATGTTGGAAGTAAAAAGAAAGTTGATGCATTTCAACTAAATCTCTAAGAGTAATAATTTTTTACAGAATACAAAAACATATTCTTTGGAGTTCATTTGCATTATTTCTTAGTATGTACGATCTAATTCCTAAGATGCAAGGGTAATTAATTATCTACGTATATGGAAAATGCAACCAAGATCTTCAAAGACACTAAATCTTCTACTCAGAAAACATATGCATTCAAGTATAGGTAATGACCCAGATTTTCCACATATTTTGTGTATTTATTTCCTAACAATTTTGCAAAGAAAAAAAAAAGAATTTTGTTATTTGATAATCTTGGGATTATTTTCTTTCTTCAACTCCTCTGATAATACTTCTTTTATAATACACACTAAAGATGGCAAATTATAGCCAACATAATTTTCATAAGTGGTTGCCAGTCTAAGGCATAGCTTCTGCTGTTGCCCCTGATAGGTCATAGCCTGATCCATGGGATTGAGCTTATTAACACTTGTGCCATTCTTAGAGCCATGGAGGACCTTAACTCTCAGAAGTTGCCATCAAAGAGCCATCAGAGTGTATTTTAAGCATAAAATATTTAGGCCAACACCAGCTAAAGTGCTAGCCTTATTGTCAAAAAACCAAGGCAACAGAAGCTATATAAGTAATGCATTTTTCCAAAGAGACTTAGAGCCTTATATCCTGAAGAATAACCACAGGATGAAATGTGAACACAGGGGATTTGCATATATCATATATCAACATGGAATTTAATTTTGGGAGTGTAATTCACTACAAAATGGTAACAGACTGCCTTCTCAAAATCAAGAAAAGAACATGCAATTACTGCAAATGAAGAGCTCAGGTGAGGTATACAGGTCTATGAGTAAAAACCAAAAGGGGGGGGGAGAGAGAGAGAGAGCGAGAGCAAGAGCGAGAGAGAGAGAGAGAGAGAGAGAGAGAGAGAGACTGATGCCTTCCAATTGAGAGAGAGAGAGAGAGAGAGAGAGAGAGAGAGAGAGAGAGAGAGAGAGAGAGAGAAAGACCCTGTCCTAGGCTTTCAGGTATATTTGCAATACTGATCACTTTTATTTCATAAGGCAATGAACGTTTTTCAGAATAGCAGTGTTTTAAATGGAGCAGTTTGTAGCTGGTTTTTATACCTTCTTTCTCCCTCCCTTCCTCTCTCCTTACCTTCTTCTGTCTCCTCTCTCCCCTCCCTTCCCCTCCCTTCCCCTCCCTCCCTCCCTCCCTTCCTCCCTTCCTTCTCTTTCCTTCCTCTTATTTGAATGTGCTTAAACCATGAACTTAGAGTGAAAATGGTTTTTACTATAATTTTAAGAGCTTTATGCTCCAAACTATACAAACACCCTGATCTGTGTCTGAAATACAGACACCATTTAATAAAGACACCATTAAAGGAAGAATAAATACATTTTGTACACAATTTGTTCTGCTAAAATACTTTCTTGTTCAATCCCCTACTCCTTTTTTTTGTCAAGATAGTTCAGCAGTATTTGGAAAATATTGGCAGTCCAACAGATGCTCAGAATCAGATGATTTAATAGGTATAAACTTTATTCCCAAATAATTGCAAAGCCTTGGTTTAGCCCTTTTACCTTGCATAGTTAATTACCCAGGCTTCAGTATTTACATGCAATGAGAATATCTACAGCTATAAACTACATAATTTATAATTGATGTAAATGGGTGTTATTATGTCAATTAAGCAGCTGTGTCCTCCACCTCTTGGTAAACAGCTATGAGTGATAAACTGAGTTTGCAGAGAGTTACCTTCTTCTCTTCATAACAGATAAAAATAAATTACCTAGGCAGACCAGGCTGTCCAATTGTTCTCTGTCGAAGCAGAGAGAAAGTCCAGGCCCTATCTTTTGACCTGTTGACTGCAGCAAGCCTTCAACTTCGTCACGCAGTACTTTCATGACTTCTGGGTACTGCAGAAGATAATACATTGTCCAGAACATAGCTGGAATAGTGTTTGCCACAGAAGCCCAGAGCAAGCCAAGATGATGTGCTGGGAGAAAATAAGTGAAAAGGAAGATTAATAGCGTTTATTACACTGATTAGATTTGCAGTGTGCTAATTAAAAGATGTTAGGACACAGACCCAGCCAAGGATCAGTGCATACTAATGAGAACCAATAGGCTTCTGAAGTCTAATTTCCTGCTTAATGAGAATAGTTTAAAATGTAATGTGTGTGGGGGGGGGCAGGAAGGTGGGGGATAAGAGTAAATGCCACTTAGTTATACTCTTTCTCATTATCATCATTAAGTATCTTGTTTTACCACCTCAGCAAAAAAAAAAAAAAAAAATCAATTATCACAGAGGGTTGAGGGTTGTTTCAGAGTAAAACATTTTATCATTAGCCAATTAGAAAAAGCATAAAAAAATTTCAAGGTCGCCATTTTGTCTTTTTATTTCAAAGGTCTAATATAAATTATTTTATTTTAGGCAAGTGATCATTCAGAAGTTTCTTACCTCCTATTTCAAAGTCCTCAACCCTATAATATTTCTCCAGGATATCTTGCCTCCTGTGAACAATTTCTGAGGATCCTTGTAGCGTAGTTAATTTTTCTGATGTCAAACATTTTATAAGTTTCTTCCGTATGGATTTTACATTTCCTAGAAACTGAATGGGTATGTCAGATACCAAGTATGGGAACTTGTCATCAAATTTAAAAAAATCATCTCTTAGGTCACCAATTATTTTTTCCCTGTCACCAGCAAGGATTTTTCCATATATGGTTGTAAATGTGGTCTCAAATACCAATGAACTGATGAATGGAAACATTCTTTCTGTTTTCCAATTTGTAGTTTTTAGTAGCTTGGACTCAAATATTTGGTTTAGAATCTGGATCATGTTTTCCAAGAGACTATCCAAAGCTTTGCCTTGTAAAAGATGAAAGGCCCCGTGAATATCTTCTCCCAAGTCCTCATCAGTCATCATCTTCTTGACAGTGAAAACTTTAGCTGATATTCTTTTACTAAACTTACGAAAGCTTAATTGTTTGGGGTTTTTCACTATAAATTGGAAGAGGAAAGGGTC